TATTTCAGGAAATTATAGTGTTGGGATTAAACATATTTATTTGTTTATTAGTGTTTATATATTTATTTCCTAAACACATGCTTCAGAATAAGATTAGATCCATAACAAAACATGATATCTAAGATCAGCCATCCTACATATAGCTTTTCTAATAACTATGATATACCTGATGAACTATTGGTAATACGATTAGGTGAAAAGTTTATACATTATGATAATTATAAACTTAATAGTAAACGTTTAATAGCATGTTGGAGTTCAAAGAATCTAAATGAAGCAAAATTATCGAATACTTTTGCGGTTGATGGAACTTTTTATGCTTGCCCAAGGTCATTTTATCAGCTTTTTGTAATATATTATGTAAAGAATAGTAGATTTGTCCCATTTTGTTATTTTTTATTACCTGATAAAAAGCAGAGTACTTATGAAATTGCATTTAGCATCCTTAAGTCTATGGGAGGACTAGTATTTATGGATAATGTAATTTTAGATTTTGAGTTGACCATAGAAAATGCTCTTATGAGTCATTTTCCGAAGAGTATAGGTAGATTTTGTGTATTTCATTATTCACAAGCAATTTATAGAAAAATCAAGAGCCTTCAACTTGAAAGTATGTATCGTAATGATAAAAACTTTAAATTTTTAATTAAAGTATTATTACGCTTTATATTTACTAAGGAGGAAAATAGGAAACAAGCATTTAAAGATTTAGCCAACTTAGTTTTGAATTCATATAGAAATGAAAGAGTAAAGAAATTACTTAATTATTATTATATAAATTGGTATTTAGGAAATTTTTTTAGAAATGATGATCTCTACACAAGAATATTATTTGATATTCCGTTCACAAATAATGGTGCGGAAGGGTTTAATTCCTCGTTGAACAGAGAAATTAGTAATCCTCATCCTAGTATAGTGAAACTTTTAAAGTGTTTACGTGATAGAGATCACATCAACGAAATGTCTTTGTATAAGACAAATACCTTATGTAAATCGCAGTTGAATCTACAAGACAAAAAGAAAAAGATACTTACTTTATTACAAGAGATGAAGAATGGTGAACATGTTAATATTTTAAAAAGAATTTGTGGACTATATAAT